CTGCCCCATAAGTAAGATTTAGTGTGTGTGTATATATATATTTCATAATCTTGGCTACTTTCTGATAGGATATGGTATAAATTAAGAAACAGCTCACAGGAGGAATTTTGCTTCTTTGTCATTTCCTACTAACATTATTTTCCTTTTTGTGCCTACCCTCTCATAACTGATCCAACTTATGATCAAAGGGTGAAGTTTGTTCCTGGTATTTCACCATCACAAAAGTATACTTTACAAAGCATGATTAAGCTCTGGACAGTCCATCTTCTGGCAGGAGGAACTGAAGGCATGGGGAGTAACTAAGGGTTGTGTGACATGTTTAAAACCTAAAATATCTCCAATATATAATGCTATTTATGTACATGTATATTTAGACACTTAAGATACTGCTATCCAGACTTTGGCACGAAGAGACTGGACTTAAAACATAAATTTTAGCCTTGTGTTTTTATAAAGGAAAAAAACAAACAAAACTTAAAGATCTAAGTTGAATTGGAAGTTTGTTTAAAATGAATCTACTCTTTTCTGAAAATCAGTAAATTACACAGGTTCATTATTGTATCTATGACTCCACAGCATCTTGGTGGTATGCAAGCCCTATCAGCTGGTAGCAACATTAAGAAAACTTGAGCATTTCCTTTTTTTCAAATGTTTCCTCAAAACTCACTTCTTTTAGGGCTTTTTTATGCACATGCACTGTGAAATGACACAGTTACATAACATTACTGTGTGCTTCTCTCCCCCTCTCTTGCCAGTTTACATTCATTTCATTCTACAAGTTTAGGCTTTGCTTTTGTAGCTGGCTCTGTAGGACAGGTATACCATGTGCATCATCCACTCTTTCAGAAAAGCATGAATAAATTATATACATTCTATGTCTTCTGTTTCTTCATCCTTCTAGTAATAACTCATCTCATCTTGCTTTTGTGTTTCAGTAATATTATTTTTTCACCTCTGACAAATACCTTACCAGAGTGAGTTTAGGACCTTAAGTTTCAAATGTGGCAGGGAAGTTAAGGTGTTTTGTTCTGTTCCCACCCTCCTAAGGCTAACCTCTGACAAACTGTCATTTTTCTGAGAGTAATGGCTCTTACTCATCTTGATGAGTCACATCAGTGATCTGGATGAGCATAGGATTCCCAGTTGCTGTTCATATGCAGAAGTGACTTTTATGAAAATCTGTACTTTTTCTTTCAATTACTTGTTGCTTTTAACATTTTAATCCTCCAGCTTTTGTTTAACTTGAAGTAACCAGGTATTTTCCTATCTTCTTACCTTTGGGTCTCAGAATTCCAAATGAAAAATTCTATTAAGGATACTGTTGTCGGCGTTGCCAGTTTAACCAGTACATGTCATTAGCACATAAGAACCTGAAAGACTGTATTGGGCAGACTAAGCATTGGCATAAACTCTCTTGTCCAAGCTGAAAGTGTCAAAGCTAAATAATGAACTGTGTAATCATGGGAAGTGCATTTTCAAGCTTTATCTGTCTAGTAGACTGACAGTGACTTTCAACCCAAGAGCATAGGTGAGCTTATGAAAGCCTGCCAAAGCACAGCATAATTCAGGTTCCCTGTCCCCAGAGTTAATGAAGGAAACTGGGTCATCCGATTTTGAAGAGGAGGGGATTTGCTTGGGAAAGTGTGGAGGTGGCTAACATTGTGAAAGTCCACTTTTTATGAGATCTTCCATTTTACTTTCCATAACACCTATACAATCTTGAAGCACAATAATGCCTGCTGTGCTCAATTGCATGCAACCATCCAGCAAAAGAAAGTAGTCGATTTTGTCTGTTAAAGTTTTCTCTCTTCCTTTTTGTCTTAAATATTTTCTGGTAAGACAGTATACCTTATTTAGTTGTATCCTCATTACTCAGGTCAAACCAAGCTGTAGTCAGCATAAAAATAAGATCAGGTAGAGTATGGGGAAAAATTCTAATGTCTATATGTAGGACAAGTACAGAAGTTACCTGTGCACACAGTGAATGAATAAAAATGTATCTAGTATATAACTTTTTATTCATCAGATCATGATGCTAGTCTGAATCCAGCACAATACAAGACATTTTAAGTGCCATGCTAACCTGACTTGACACTGCTAAAGTTGTATTTAGTGAAGGCCAGTGTAATTACCACCTTTCTTATGTAGCTTGAGATGTAGCAGCTTGTGCCAGTGGAAGTTTCTTTGGATCAAATTCATGTCCATCTGGTAGTGCTGTTTGTGCTTGTTGGGGTGGTTGCTGTGTCTAGCTGGGAACGCTAGTGAAAACGCCTAATTCCAGCAGAGCATATCTGATCCCTTGTTTCCTCTAGTGGAGCGAATTGATGCAATTGGTGCAGTTTATATGTTGTCCGAGGACTGACCCATACTGGAGAAATCTTCTGATCCAATTAAATAATTGGATAATTTATTAAATAAATACCCCTTTTACTTTAAACCTTGGAAAATGCAAGCTGATATGCTTTATCAGCTCTACTCAATGTATATCACTGTCAAGAACCTCCCACTGTCAGTACTGATGTCTATTGCATTGCTTTTGCAATACCTCACCTACCACCTTACAATATGGCTATTATAATTAAAGTAGTTCAAAACTAGGGCTTATTTTGCAAATCCTTGTCATTCAGGTTTTGGTTTTGCAAACCAAGACCCCATTGATTCCAGCTTGTATTCCAGGATTTGTAGGCACTAACGATACACAATATCATCTGCATTCACTGTTAAGGTTAGTAAATAAGTAGAAATTGTTCTCTTTTAGAATGTCTAATTCTTCACCATTATGAAATCAATAAAAATAGATCAAAGACGTGCTATTCCTTTCTGGATCATCTAATAGATGCTTGAACACAATGATCTATAGTGAGTCAGGCTATTCTTGTTTGTAAAAACAGAAAACATATGATGCAACCCCTAAAAGCAATTCAACTCCACCCCAGCAGTGTCAGATTTACCCCTGGAAGAGTCAGGTACAATTTTCTCATGCTTTAAAATGCCTGCCTTGCAAAGCACACACTGCTTGTTTCTCATGCTTTCACAAACCTCCTTGTAATTCAAGCTGTGACCAAGTGTGGTTGGCTTCAAGCTTACATTTCAGCCCTCAAGTTACAAAATAACATCTTCAGGGAACACTAGGGCAGCTGACCATGCTGGAATCCTCAGTTGTCAATGAGTACTGTAACCAGGTTGAAGACTAAATGGGCCAAAAATGCAAAAATATGTAGAACCAACCATAGAAATACACCCTGAGGCCTACTGGGCTTACAAGCTAAGACATAGATTCTCACATGCATGTCCAGTGAGCAGCACAACTCTGAAACATTATGTGGTTTTGTATTTCACGGATCTTGGCTACTAAGCCATGGCTGTGTGCAGAGCCAGCACATATCCTTGTGTATCTTGGGATCTACGAATGCAAAAAGTAGCAATCGTCAAAGAGCTTAATGCAGAGTCGGCTCGCGTCTACTGGAGGTTCTGCAGATCTGAATTTTCTGCATCATGTTACCTAGCTTATCAGAGCATGGAGACAGAGATAACCCAGCTCAGTGTACATCCAATGTGATACAATGAGTGCAGAGACACCCTTGAAGCTCTGCTGGAGTTGGCTCAGGTCTAGCAGAACCCAGGCAGGCTCTGTGCAAAATCACGGCACCACTATTCTTTACTGTCTTATAATCCAGGTTTTTCCAGAAGCCACATGATCCTTGCTCCTTATCTACTTGGAGAGTTTCCTGCCTGCATGATATATTTCACATTCTGTTTCCAAGCGAATGCCATTCTTGCTTTGGATATTTAACAATGAAAAATAATGAAAACACTACCTCACTAAAATCAACTGAGTTAGTGCTGTTGCTGAAACTGTACTGCTGCCATTTTTATTTGATTTTTTTTTTTAATGGGCTTTCCTCCATAATGAAGGTAAGATCATCTTCCTGACTCACCATTCTTGTTAAGACACTTTAGCCTAGCTTCTGCATTCCTCCATTCATCTGCTCTTTGTCTGTCACAGTGAGCACAGTTTTTTTATTCCCATCAACTGAAATTTACTTTGTCTATATTATCGTGACATCAATTTATGCAGCGCAAGTGAGGTGCGATATTCATTTCCCTAATTTTTTTCTTCTGTTCCCTGTTTACTGCCTTGTTCAAAGGGGAAATGCCCTGTCAGAATCCACAGGCCACTCTCTTTTCTCCCCCACAGATCACCCTGTAAGAATTCCTTCTGCCTTGGTACCTGCAATGCACAGCCAGGCAACCAAAGACTAGAGAGCTGGCAAGTTGAGATGATTCATTACTGTTCAAAGTTATTTGTTATCTCAATCTCTTAACACCACTCTTTTGTTTGTTGCCCTTTGTATTTTGTCATCCTCCATTGTGAGCTGGGTGGGAAAGATATTGCTTTTGCTTGATAGTTGCAGAACCTTATTTGTTTGGAGGCTCCAGGCCCTAATATTAGATAAGTAACATGCGATAAAGAAGGCTCTCTGGTGTTGCCTCATTGTTTATGTTTCACTATTGAGAGGGAGGAAAGAGGAGAGTTATTAATTATGGAGAGTGGCATAGTTTTTAGTTTCCAAAGTAGAAAAAGATGGAGAACACTTTTGTTTGTCTATCCATATAAAATCATAATTAGGGATTTTGTACACACACATAGGCACCCACGAAAAAAATGCAATAGTTTTGTTGTTATCTGTTTTTACTTTCACATCCAGAGAGAACTCAAGAATGCCTAAAATCACCACATTTCCTATGAAAAGGACGTATTTTTGTCCTCATTGCAGGGGGAGAAAAATTTGTTGTTATGGAAAAAGGAAACTTTTTCCAAAAGCAACCACTTTGCTACCTCATATGCACAAGATACAAAGGGAAAATCCTCATTAGAACTTAATGTCATATAGTTTCATGACACACTTCTAGCCTGTTCTGTTGTATGTTTTATGTCCTTAGAACAATAACTTTCACAGTTCACTGAGATTTAAGATTCCCTGTGCTTATTTCTGCAGGCACCCTAGATAAACATGTAGAACTAGAGAAACTTGTGGCCAAGTTCCTTGGTGTGGAAGATGCTATGGTGTTTGGCATGGGCTTTGCAACTAACTCGATGAATATTCCAGCCCTTGTTGGGAAGGTGAGTACTTCCTTAAGGAACACATAGAACAATTGTTTATTAATTTTTTCAACAACTGTTGCAGTGTTCTGGGTATGCATTAAGTGGAAAGGCTTGATCAAGCAACAAAGCTTGATACCAGGAATGCATGAGTCATAAGGCTGATGACCTTGTGACCTTAAATATGCTCCTTAATCATTTTTTCTAGCTCCAGGTGTTGCTTTCACACATACTTAACATCTATTGAAGGATGAGTGATATGGTTGTTTACGTTCTCTTAATGAATTATGATTAGGATATTTTTTACAGCACTTTCAGAAAAGAGAAAGCACACTGTTTAGCATTCTTGATGAACAGATCTCCAACCAGCCCTGCAAAGAAAGCTGGCAGCAAATGCCAGTTTGAATTTGTGACTCTGTGACAAAACTTGAGTTTTTATTTGTTGTTGAAGGGACTTCATCTCCAGTTTAGGGTACCTAACAGGAAGGCATGAAAATCCATCATCCTGTCAATCACAACTACTGACATAACAAGCAGATACACTGTTGTTAGCTGGGAAAGTGGGAAGCTACTCTTTAGTTCATGAAAGTCTGAAACAGTATGATGTGTGTCATGCAAGCGTGAGAAAGTATTCGCCTCTTGGTGGAGACAGAATGAACTGTGTGGTGTATGATCAAGATTTCTTCTGAAGCACCGGCACAGACATGAAGTCACTTCTTCACTCACTATTGAAGATGAATCCAGCTTTTCCAACATATTTCTAAAATACATGTGTACAAAGGCTGGACAGGGAGAATTGCTTCTGCTGCCCAGAACATGAACTTCAGTCTGCAGCAGTGCTGGAGAAGTTGTCCAGCAATACCAAAGGGAACAGAGAATTAATAAAGGTAAATTTATGAAATTGCAGACATACACAACAGCAGAAGATACTTGTCACTTGCTTAGCTATAAAATTATTTTCCCTCCCTTAGCTGGCCTCATGTGGACACTCAGGCCTTTGTCAGAGGTGGGTTATTTAGATATAAGTGGCAAAAATAAAGCTAATACTATAGGTATTATGTAGAATATAACTATAACCATTTAGTATATGTTAATATTGTATAGTATTATCATATATAATATAGATGACAGATATTATGTAATTGCCCTGTACTGGGGAGATTTATTCCTAAACTTTCCTCTGTAACTAAACCTAGTATTTAATTTTCTTTTTCAAGATGTATATGCTCTTACAATTAGTCCTGCATACCTGTCTTTAGGCAGATTTGTGTGAGTATCTCTCAACCTAAGCATAATTTGTGTTTCCAAAATAAGTATTTACTTGATGTTGTATTGCCCTTCGGGTAATGAAAGCACAGCGCAAGATGTGTAAGAGAAAGCAGAGCTAAGTTAGGGTTCCAGCTTGAATTTGAACTGTAAATCCTGGATGCTGTTAATAAAATATACAAAGTTATTTCTCCTGCATTTCTATTGTAGTTTCTAAAAAGAAAATTAGTTTTCAGCTGAGGTAATTAATTTGAGATATACTACTGGTTGTCTGTATATACATTTACCAGAGAAAGACTCTGCCTGGTGCCTAGGCTCCACTCGCATCTTAATGGAAGTGGGATTTATGAGGTATCGATCTGTCCTGGTCTCATTTCTGCTGCACAAAGTGTTGATGTCGATCCAGCCCTAGTATTACTCTTCTTTGCACTACTCTCATGAAGTCTTTATGTATGGGGTAGTGTTGCATTTTCCTTGCAACACAAAACAGACCATAGACAGGTGATAGAGGAAGCAACATCACTTGATTTTACTAGAAAGCAGTCAATCTCTACTAGGGTTTTTCACTACTTTCCAATTACAGAAAATATTTGGCCCCTTTGCACCTCCTCGGAATGCCTGAGAATCTGATCCCACAGTTTCTGCCTGCCTTTTCAGTGTGTCCTGGCACCTTCAGAAAAGTGGCAGAAAATCCAGTTCATGTTTAATACTTACAGATTAATTGATACAATGCTATATCATAGACACACGTGCATGCTGACACACACATGCATGCACGTCAACGCCTCCCAATTCATGCAGATGCTTATTGTACTCCTTCTCCACAGGACTGCCTCATTCTAAGTGATGAGTTGAACCACACTTCTCTCATTCTTGGTGCGAGGCTTTCAGGTGCTACTGTTAGAATCTTCAAGCATAATAGTGAGTATTGAAGTTGGAAATATTTAGAGACAGAGTTGTTCACACCTCAAAGGCAAGAATGCTTCCTTTCAATGCTTGATTTGCTGTCGGTTCCCAGATGACACCTTTGTCCAGGCAGAAGGATTAACTGTTATATACTATGCGTGATTTCTGATGCGGAAAAATTAATTGTGTAACACTATAATTGATATTGTGCATGATAAGGTCATCAGGTTGGACCTTAATTTCAATATCCAGATTCTTAATCTCATTGCTGTGTTTTTCACATGCTGAATTACTGTGTGCTGTCATAAAGGTTGTATTGTTATTGTCACTATAACCAAAATAATACTAACATACTTACAAAACCATGCACCTTATTTTCTGCCTCTGTTTCTAGCAGGTTCAGTGCAACCAGAGTTACGTTAGTGCGGTGTTACTTCGAAACGATTACCCTGAATTCCCAGGGGGCTATACCAAAGATTCAGATGGTTATATCAAGCACATCATCCAAAATAGTCTTTGAAGTATAATTTTAGTATAGGAATCACACATTAACTTTGCAATCATATAATTATCTTCTAAAAGACTCATACTTTTTAACTTTTATTTAGTTAATGCTGCTGTGGTTACTCTCAGAGACATTGTGACTGACGTTGATGACAAGAGCTTGTTCTTTTCCTTTATTCCCCACTGCAATTTCACTTTCCATCCCCATTGCTGTCACCAGGCAGTGATTGCAATAGAGGTTCAGAAGCTAGAGAGGTGGTGAGGAATGAGAAAAGAGGTCTGATCACCTTTGTTAATAGCTAATACAGTCCCTTCTCTTTATTAAGTGTTGTGTTCAGCCCTGAGGTGAGCAAAAATGAATTATGCATATGCTGTAAAAGACCTAGGGATCTGGTGGAATGAAAAGCACACTATAATTATAATATAAGGTGTTGTTATAATTAATATCTATTCATAATTTGGGCAAGAAGCAATTTCTGAAGATTGTTCAAGAATTATAGATCATCTGAACCCACATGTTTTTACCAAAGTAATTATTCATACATTAGCCTGTAACATACCCCAACTTGGTTCACTTCCACAAATCTGGATATGCTAGGCATGGTTGCTATACCAGTCTTTCCTCAACTCTTGCTTAATTTGCTCTGTGTCTTGTCCCATTCAAACTTAGGTTTGCATCACATCTTGTAGGATGCCCTCTCGCTACCCAAATCCAAATGTTCTCAGCCTCTCCCCCCCATCTATGCTTCGTGCAGCCTAGCTGGCTTGTGTTCCTTCCCACAGCATTTCAAAGAACATTCCAGTTTGAGGAGTGTATTACTCTCAACTGCTAGCAAAGCTGTGAAGACATCACTTGGAGCTGTCATTCTTGCTTCAAGGAATTCTGTCTCTAACCATCCCCCAATACTTCATTTCACTCTCAAGAACCTGATACCTAACCAGCCTCTGCTTGCGCTAATGATAAATTATAGCTTTTGAATAATGTGTGCACCTTAAAATAATAGTGACCTATCCAAAAAGCACTAAACAAGCACTGGAAAACATAGTGCATTTAAGGTTCTCAGTGGAAGCCCACCCAGGTTGCTTTGGAAAAACTCATTGCTTTCTAGATAAGAGATCTGATTTGCTAAAATCAGTCTTGTATGCCATCTCTGAGATATCACCTTAACTTATTTCAAAATGAACCTGGGGAAACTTATGCAAATACTGTTTGGAATTTGAGTGTCAGCTTTTGTCATGACAATTTTGTAGGCCTTGAGTCTTAACCAAAGTTGCACTTAGAGAGCACTTCACGTGAAGAAGATTCTGACATTTATGCTCTTGCCCTTGGCCCGCTGTGAGTCTCTCAGTATGTTAGTTCCATGGTTAGAAAGTTCTTTCTTTTGAATGTTTTTTAATGAGTTACACATCACCAACAGCTTTTAAAATCAGGTGTGCAGAAATATATGTATGTGCCTTTTGCTTTGGAGAAAATAGGATGTGTATAGGAGGAGGATGTCAGCAGAAAGGGCAATCCAGCAGGACTGCCTTTGTAGGATGCCCAGTTTCAACCAAAATGAAGCAGACAGCCTTGTTCTCTGTGGATCTGTCAGACAGTAGTATAATAGAAGTCAGTACAGTAAATTAATTAACCAAAACATCTAGCTTGCTTTGGGAGAGTTCTTTTCAGTTGGGCAGGTGCTTTTGTATTTTGTTAGATCAGAGCTCTGTTGCTTATGCTCCTAGATTAGCCTTCTTGATAATGTGTGGATATGTAGCATACACACGAGCATGCACACACATGAACGAATTGACAGAGTATGTTAGTGCTGCCATTGTCATGCTTATGAACATGTGAATTAAGCCATTATGCATGTCATACTGCTTGATGCGGAAGAAAGGTTTCTTATGCTATATCGGGCCTGTGGATGAATAGAAAACTTTTCACCTTGAGTTACCACTTACAGATCTTTAATAAGGATTAATTTCAGCATCAGGTAATAATTCTTTGTGTCATACTTTTTAAAATCCTTCTCTGTATTGTTGCTGTGTCAAAGGCTTGGCTAGGGCCCTTTGAGCAGTTGGAACAATTCTCCAGCAAGGTGCAGCAACAAAGAATAAATCTGAGTTCTGTTCCAAAGAGGATTAGGGCTTAATGTGCATTTCGTTCTTACTTGTGTCCATGGAGCCAAGTTGTGTGCTGGCATGAGTTGGCTCATCTCCTTTGGAGCTGTGCCAAGTTACACACACATACTGTTTGACCTAGAATTACCCTACACTAAAGACAAGAAAAAAGATGCCAAGCTGTACCACCACTAGTATCTAAAACATGATTTCTGTGCAGGAGAATCAAAAATTCAAATCAGGCAGCAGATTTTAAGTTACCTTTTTGCTATTAGAATGCAGCTTGAGACAGCAGAGTTTTTTCCATGCTCCTTGTTACTTACATCAGCCTCTTTTGAAATGCTGTGTAACACCCTTGATAAAACTGCCTAGAACATATTTACTTTGGCTTCAGCTTTCTTGGTTGCACGTGTGGAATAGACATTGGGAGAAGGGTGAGTTGTGAATGTTTGTTTGCAGTTGTTATAAATGGTTATCAAAACGAGGAGGAATAATTATGTAGCAATTTAGTGAAGTAATGGTATATTTTCTGAACCAGCTCCTTCCTGAATATTGTACAAAAATCATGCACAAATGTGTGCTGCTAACCTCCCTTTCTAACAAGCTTGGCACTGTAAATCTCTCTCCCCTCCCTCTTTTGCCCCTGTTATGGAAAAACTATTTTTAAAGGAAAAATTATAGGAAGCTCTGTTCTATGATAAAAATATTTCACAGAAAAGAGAGTAGAACCTGCCATTTTAAACTTGCTACTGAAGCACATTCATCTTTCAAAGGCTATGCTGTAGCTAATTCTGTGAAACTATGTTATTTGATTTCAAAGCGTATAATCTGTAATACTGCATCTATTTGTCATTACACAAAAGTAAATACTTGTGTTTTTTTCATTAGTAAGCCAAGAAGTAATCTCTACCTATTACCTTAATCATGTATAATATAATTTGTATTCTTACAAAAGTTAATGAAATTCTGTTTTAAGCAGTGGGTAGCTGTCCTAGGCATTACATTTTCACAAAAATCCTGAATAGTTTTTCTAGAACAGATGAAATTGTTAGACCTCAGTGCTTCTCCTAAGTAAAATAAAAGGCATCTGGATATTTCTGCTTTTTGACAAAAACATTGCATAGCTGTATGGAAAGATTTTCAAGCCATAAGGTGAATAATGGAACAAATATGTGCTGTGGACCTGTAAGTCCATTTTTATTTGGACATAGGTATGTGCCTTGCATCCTGACTCCCAGTGAACAATCCCTTCCTTGTAAACAGACAGGAATTTACAGGCCTGGGCTGAGAAAAATGCACAGGCACGCACCTACAGATCATTTATGTGAGAGAAATTTAAGAAAATACTCCATTTCAGCCCTATGACTAATAACTACTGAACAGGGCATTCCCCTCCCGCAGGCTCTCTTTAGCACTATTGCTAGTCCTCACCCTGACGAGGTCACGGCAGTATACCACAGGGTATTTAGCCTTTGAGGGACATATTCTCTTCCAGGGACTTGTGAGTTTTTTGTGGATGCTAGCAGAAAAGCTCAGCTCCATGGAGCCCCTACTCTGAGGAATGGGTGTAGGGGGATTTTTTAATTTTTTTTATATATTTTAGGACCTGAGCAGTCCTAAATTTATCCAATAGTGTTTTTAGTAGGCTTAAATCATTCTGACCTGCCCATAAAGCAACTGCCTTTTGTCTCCCCTGCTGTGGTGTGGTTACCATTTCCCAGGCAGTGATTTGTTTAGGAAGGGAGAAAAGAACTACTTTCCTACACTTGAAATGCAGCCAGCAGCACAGTCCAACAACTAGTATGCAGTGGGAGGAAGGTGGGAGGCTAGAACATCTCCCCATCTCTGTGGCAGTAGTGGCCTGGCCTTGGTTAGTTTTGTGCCAGAAAGTGTCTGATGTTATCCTTACCAGGCCTGGTCTCCAGCGACCCTCTTCCACCCTCCCTAAGTGACCCATATGGGGGTTCTTCAGCTGTATGGGGGCTACACTCTAGGGTGGTTTTATCTCCTGACCCAGGGAGAGACTGACTTATCACCTGCTCTTTTTTATTTCTAAGACAATCTTTTATTAATAGCATATATGTTAAAGCGCTTTTTCAGAGTCTCTGACCTTTACCATGGTTAAATATTAGCCAAAATCCCTTGACTCTTCCAATAAAACTTGAAAAGCAAAACCAAACAGCTAACCATTAGAATCATAGAATGCTTTGGGTTGGAAGGGACCTTTAGAGGCCATCTAGCCCAACCTCTCTGCACTGAGCAGGGACATCTTCAACTGGACCAGGTTGCTCAGAGCCCCGTCCAACCTGGCCATGAATGTTTCCAGGGATGGGGCCTCTACTACCTCTCTGGGCAATCTGTTCCAGTGTTTCACCACCCTCATTGTAAAAAATTACTTCCTTATATCC